GGGTTGACGCCTGCGGACGGCCACGCGGGGGACTGAGGCCACCGCAGTGCCGCCCCCTCCCGCCTGGGGCACCGGACTGCGCTCGCACCGCTTGCAGTCGCGTGGCCCCAGCGCCCCCCCCTCCCCCTGCGAAGGGAACAGAAGTCCCCGCTATTTCCCGTCGCAGTCTCGCTCCGGGTCGCGCTCCTGCTTCCAGCGTCAAACATGCTCTCGATGCCGGATGCCCTGAAGGGCAGAGGTGCCTGGTCCGGTAGCACAGGGGGAGATGGTGTGGCAGAAGCTGCCTTCCCTAGTTCTGCAGGATTTCTGTACGCTGAGCCCAATTCCAGCTCCTGGTGGGACTCGTGGTCACCAGATGCTGTGGAACCTGGCAGTGCAGCCAGCCTCAGGGGTTGGACAAATCGTTGGAGGAAAAGGGCCTCGGGAGCTTTTGAGCATGGAAGCGAGGGGCACACACAGAGAGAGGGAGCCTCTGAATCCGAACTGCCTAGACCTTGAGTGCTGGAGGCTGCCGGGCAAAGAGGAGCAGGGACAGAACCCTGGTCAGACCCAGTTCACTCCTCCTTTCAGCACCCACCCCTTGCCCCTGTGTGCTAGGTGACCAGGAAAGATTGACCCAGTCAATGGCAAATATTATGTTCTTACCGATGGGCCCAGCACTGCCGTATGTTAAATATGAAATTACCATATTGGAAGCTCAAATTATTGTATTTTCTGAAAAATTATCATACACTGAAGAAAAAGTATGCAAATAAATCCAATTTGTATTGCTCACTGTAACTCAACAGTGAGTGAGAACTGGGTCAAAGTCAAAGCATTTCTTTAGTTTGAGGCAAGCAGTCATACAAAAGTGCTGACAGTGAACCTGAAAGTTAGTTAAAATTCCCTGAAAGTGACTTGGGTTTTGCATATGCTGCATCATTTAACTGCCTTAAAAAATATCTTACATTTTGAACACTTTAGTATTATCTATTGTGCATCATCCAAGAGTTGAAATGACTGTACAAATACAATAATTACCCTACACCTGGCAGTGCTGTATGGGTCTACCTTGGGAGAATCTAAAGGACAACAACCTCCCCGGGGAGTAGTGTGAGGGGGAAGCTCACAGGAGGGGCACTATGGCCCCTGCTAGGTTTCATATATGATGCAATTAATTGATGAATCACGCAATAGCTGTAGACAGGCTACACATGCAAAGTAATGACCTTACCATACAAATGTCTATCTACCTATAACAAGAGCCAACCAGCTACCAAGTCTGTGCTTGAAAAGGTCTAACCCTTTTATAGCCAGTTTCAGTCCAGCTTTAATTTGAACGTGTGGGATGGCCCTATGAGATCTTATTAGGCAAGACTTCCCTGACATCTGAGTTAATTCGTGCTGCCTCTGTACTGGGATGAAACCCAGGCTTGGACAGGAACAAGAAGCCCTTATCCACAACTGTATTAGCAAGCAATTGAGCCAGAAGAGGAGCTCAGGGAATGAATAGAGTCTCAGAGTATAGAGAAATGGAAAAAGCTCCATGGATTCCTTCATTTCCTTTTGAACTGGTCAGTGCCCTGCCCCTAGGGTGTACATTTTCAGGAAGAAACACTAACTGGGAATCTGACCAGTCAGTAATTACTCTATTTCTGCCCCCAGGCTCCACCACAGCCACTGAATGGCTCAGCTACAGCTGGCCTTGTATACACAAGTGGATTCTATGGTGACATCTCCTGGTCTTCCCTTGATAGGGCAGGAGAGGTATCACTCCAAGCCCCTTGGGCATCAGACCCAGCTTGAACACCTGAAGAACAACTTCCAGCAGCAATTCCTCCATGACAAAGAGGAGAGGCTGAAGGGTCTGTGCATCCACAAAGCCCAGAGCTATTCATGCTCTCTCTCTGCTGGGAGCAACCAACAGAACCCTGGGCAGGCCAGCTTCTACTCTGCGGGACTCCACAGTAGATACCCTACCAATCAGGCCAATACTCTGCCTTCCAAATGGATAGCCAGGCGAAGAGGAGTAGACCGGTCATACCCCCTGAAACCAGTCTTTTACCGCAAGGCTGGAAATGTTCCAGTGACAAGTGCTGGTCAGCTCAGAAGTCCCCAAGCCATGGAGGAGTCTCCCAATAGCAGGTCTAGCTCAAAGAACAAAGGGAATTTTACAACAGCCAGGGCGCTGCCAGATACAGAGGCATCGCCTTGGTCAGCAGAGCCTAAGCATTCAGCCTCTCATTTGGACAGACCAGAGTTGGGTTACATTCAAAGGTTGGAGGCAGCTGGACAGAGCATGGAGGTAGAGATCCGCAGGAAAGAGGCCCTCCTCTGGGAGAAGCTGAAGAGAACAGAGGAGGAGCTCAGGAGGATCCAAAGAGAGAGGGAGCAGGTGGAGGTGGAAGAGAGAAAGGCAACAGGGGTGCCGACAGAGGCACGAAGGATGCCTGAAAGAAAGGAAAATGTTTGCAGAGCTACTACCAGACCCAGTGAGGGGTGCTATAACCAGGGGCAGTCTCCGGAGGGTGCCAGTTTTCTGACTGGCATTAGTTTCCTTCCCTGGGAACTAGGCATGGAGAGACTCAAGAAAGAACGGCTGGTAGCCAGCAATAACAAAATTCAAGACCACATCCCTCTGGAGAGCTCGGCCTCCCGCCCAGAGCTGGTTTTGAACTATAGCCAGGCTCCATCTGCAGCAGCTCTCTCCCACCAAGACTTAAGCCACTGCCAAGCAGCAGAGCCATTGTATGTGCAGGTCCCCGCTGCTGCAGAGCAAGGGGAGCTGGGACAATGTGGTTTCTGCAGGCGCCAATTTCTCTGCTTTAGGCTGGAGAAGCACATGAACATCTGCAGCAAGAATCAGGGCTCCAAAAGGAAAGCATTTGACTCTAGCAAGGCCAGAGCCAAGGGCACCGAACTGGAGCAATTTAAGCAATGGAAGGCCTCAGACATCCCACAGGTAACATGCACCCTTATGTGGCTGCCTTTGCTTAGACTCCCCTTTCCTTTGGGTCTTGCAGTAAGGCACCTGGAATTAGACTTGCTTAATAATGTGTAGCGTATCCCACTCACTCCATTCAGGCTCCTTGACATCTAACCCTCTCTAGGGGAAGTTGGCAATGAACCAGCTCAAGGTTATAGCTCATGGCAGCAACACCTTGAAAGCGGGGTCTGTACCGTTCACACAAGGTACAGATATGAAACAACCTGCTCACAGGGGAGCCTTCTTCTTGCTCATTACTGAGTTTGTTGTGTGGTCCCTAGCACCTGGGCCTGAGGCACCTAAGCATGTCTCAGTCCTTCCCCCATCACTATGAATGTGCCAGAGCAGTCCCTGAGGAAGTATGTCCTTGGGCAGTCTTGCAGACTCCCCAGCAGAGGAAAATTATGTTTGTGACCTACTGAGTGTTCTGCTGTTTGCTTCTCTATGCTCATGTGACTGCCTCAGGTTCACAGCTGTGACAGTAGCACCAGCACCATCAAACTGCCCCCTAAGCTCCAAGAAGGCTGCACCTGCTCCTTCTGTGAGACCCTCAAGCTGAAAGGAGCATGTAGAAGTAGCAGCTGCCCCCAACTCTTCTGAGAGCTGAAGTTTTTTTTTGAGAGGATGTTGAATCTAGTGGGGGAAAGGGAGTACTGCACTGAGGCAGGCTTGGGGTGAGAGGGCTAGGGGGAACCTCCCAATAAAAGGGTAAGTAGAGACTGGACTTGGAGCCAGCACAGCTGTTGCTCCTTCCTTCTGCACTAACTTCACCTCCTACCTTGCAGAATGAGCCACCTCAGACAAACAACTGGAGACAGAAGCATGAGTATTTCATCCAGACCCTGCGCCAAGCCCGCCAGGTGCAGCAGGTGCTGTCCAGAGGGGGAAAGCTCTCGGACTTGCCCCCACTGTCCCCAGTAGAGAACCCAGACTATGTCTCCTGCCCCCACTGCAGCCGCCGCTTCGCACCCAAAGTGGCGGAGAGACACATTCCCAAATGCAAGACCATCAAAAATAGACCCCCGCCCCCACCCCAAAGGAGACGTTGCTAAATGGGATCTGGCCTCACCAGGGCCTGCCCTTACAGACTTATTTTGTGCTGTCACCCTTCCCCAAGCTGGCTGCTGTGGTATAAGATAGTCCCATGTACAGGAAGCCATGGACAGCGTATTAAAGTTTGTGTACTTTGAGCTGCGGCCAGCAGTTTCCTAAGCATGTAAGTGGGTCAGAGCAGCTTCCATCTCCACCCCTGCTCCTGGCTGGTTCCAGAGTCCTCCCTGTGTGACTGTACAAAGAGTCCAAGAGCACA